AGACCTGTCACGACGCCGTCCCCAGCCATCTAACGTCTCACGACTGCACTTACAGCTGCTCCTGTAGGCCTGTGGACCAGTGACGTCATTCACAGGCGCCTGCGACAACCCAGGACGCGATCCATTGGCGCTGCTCCGCGAGTCCTTGGCTCCAGTGACGTCAGTACTGGCTCCGCGGTCTGACGGTGCACTTGGCTACGGTAACGTTCGCGGTAACTGGACACCGGTCGCACACGATCGCGGTCAAGACCGAAACAGTCACACAAATCGTGTGAGTCGTGTCTCCGAGAATGTCGGCACGACAGGATGTCATATTTAGCACTGCCTCCACACTTGGTCGGTATGGTATGTATGCCCATATATCGCCTGCACTTCCAGCGCGAGCACGAAAGACGGATGAAGCGGACAAAGAAATGTAGTTGCACAGATGAAATAAGCGTGGACGTGCAGCCCCCTCATAGAAATACGATGCGTACGCGGCGTGTACGCGAATGTCCGTGCTTTGTTCCACTGCGACGAGCCCTGGGTGCCGGACTTCACAGCGGCAAGTGCAATAAAGCGTCAAGTACGGGGCCAGTCGCCGAACCAATATGAGAAGCGTGTGGGGCTACCGCGGTATTAAGCTCGCAGTCTCAGTTCCTGTGTGTCGAGGGTGGCTGCATCCCTTTGACGAATTCCGTTTAGCTGCTTTACACAGTCGCATTCGTGTTGCACACGTTAAGAATCGAAGTAATGAAGGTCGTATTCGACAAGGTGAGCGTGCGGTACGTGTTGTTTGTCGTTCGGATGCGTCAGTATTGCATGTTTGTCAGGCATATACTATTGCGTGTTATGTAGGAGATAGCTCAATTTGACGTTATGCCGGTATTTGCATACATACATGTCGAACTGTGCCGCAGTGTGAAGGTCACTTGCCTTATTACCACTGCCACTTTAAAATTGGCTGTCTCTACGAAGTTCCCTGCTGTTCGCAGTTAGTGACAAGCCGTGCCAATGCATCTGCGCTTTGTTCAAAACCCAAACGTGGTTGTCTGCGTCAATTCGTGCTGCCAACGGATGCCTATGATGTCGCCCACTCTACGTGAAGTAAATACAACTAATCCATACCATGTCTGCGTTTACCCGTTCCAGACAAGTATGCGGCCGCTTCGCCTGATGAGTTTCGTGTTATTCACACGTATTGCTGTGGTGCCAAACACACCGCAAACGTTACGTCGAGGAAGGCTTCATAATTTGTCCACGTACCCGGGCTGGCAAAACCTGCTGGCTGCAGCGAGTTCCACCGCAGAAGGTGCACTGTTCGTGGGTCACCGCATTTGACATTCAGATTGGACCTTTGTCTATGCACACCGCACGGCCAGAACGGCCGCGAAGTCATTGCATGCTTTTATAAGTGTAGGGTGTCGGAGAACACCTGCGTGAAAGCCAGTGAATGTTTGCGTAGTTTGACGAGCGCCGCTTAGAGGGTCTAGCGTTCCCCTCCTCCTGCCCTTTGCGCCTCGTGCGAGGGACGAGGTCGCGGGGGTCAGGAGACAGTAACAAGGAGAAGACTTTGAGAGTCGCCGGCGCGAGGGTGGACGTGAAGGCGGGACGGGCTGTGGGGAGTGCTTGTGACGAATGCCAAATACAGAAGTGACTTTGGACGTACCGTGTGTGTCGGTGAGCCGCAGGCGAGACACCAGAACAGCAGAACTTACATAAGGACGCCCAACGGCAGATACTGTGCGGACATGAGGGACAATACTATTCTACAGTCAGATGGCGACTGCTCCGCGGGTCGACCCACCACGTCATTATCATTATCTCTAGATACGGAAACGGTAAACTGCACCTAAGACCTCTCTTGAATCGTCTATAAACTCATGCAACCTATTAACGTGGGTAAAATGCCCGCCGGGCAAGTTGGAACGACGACAGCGCACCAAATCAGCACTTCGCAGGTTTATTGGCATACGTAGCTAAAATACTGAGATCAATCAACACAACCCCACTGTGTTAACTGAAACCTATGTTATCATAGGGCTATGAATCCTATAACACTTATCCCACCACTCACGGCTCACGATTCATGGCAATATATGGTAGCAAATGTTGGGTCGAAAACGGCGTAGCAGTGACAAGCTTCGTATATGTTTAGCATCCGTGTGTTATGTCACCGAGGTTGATTGCGTGAGATGGATGCGTGATACATGGGAACATAAATATAACGACATCTATGGTGAGCCATGGGTGTTTTGTGCGCGAGAAGAAGTGCGGATTTTCATGTGTGTAGCATAGTACATCACACTGGCGAACGTTTGTGCTGGGAGGGGCAATTATAGGTTGTGTTATGTAAACAATTCATCCGTTCGTTCGAACTCATCGTCTGGTGTGAAATACTGCCCGCTGCGGCTAAGGCTTTTTACTTCAGGTAACCATGACAGTTGTCTTTTGCACTCAATTCTGGAAGGTTCAACAATTTGGAAGGATGGGTAGCAGTTTGCAACTCCAGAAAATGTTAGTACACTTGATTTATGAGGGATGTGAAAGCTGGCTGAAATGTCATCCCAGATCATTACAGATTTGTGATTTTTTGTTAGAAAAGTGACTTTTGCCCTTGATAACTGTAAGGCAAAAGTGTAGCATTTATTACATTGCTGTGATCATCAGTGAGAGAACTGAACCTTAAGTTTTTTAAAGATTTGATCTGAACCTTTTGGATAGATGGATTTCTGGAATCAGAGCTCACACAAAGTAGTTCTGGTTGTGTGAGCCTGATCCCTACCATCTGATTGCACAATTCTAGGCAACCACAGACTTAAGTGGTGAGAGTTTAACGTGCTGCAATGCTCAGTAGGGTCTGTCCTTACCTCTTAACACCAGCTACCCTGAAGTGCAATGCTGTCACTGGCCGCAGATGATATTCGTCAGGGGCAAATAGGAGTGCCTAAAGCTACTCTAACCAACCCCACCACCAGTGGATGGATGGAAAGGCAGGTGATCTAACCAACTGAGCCATCCAGACAGGCAATCAAGTTGGCGACAATGAAGTATACTCCTTCATACCTAGTAAATGGACAAAAGCATAAAAAGGAGCAATGCCCATGTGAACTACAGGTTTCATTGTTGTATGTTGCAAGTAAGTTTAATGTTGCCAAGGTAATGACAAGAAACAACATTTCTAAAATTTTCCAGCATACAGCAATATCCTCTTAAAATTTTTACATAACAATTATGTGAAAATCCAGTGCAGTTTTATCTGGCTAGAGTTTGTTGGATGCATGCTTGAGGTTCAGTGCACCAGCATGATATGTCTGGTACAGTGGATGAATTTTTGCAGTAGGCATTGCAGACATGTGGATGCAAGCTCTTTGCTCTGATTTCATTCACATACTGAGGTCTGAACAAAATATTACCCCCCCCCCCCCATTTCATTAACATTGGGTCATGTATACCACCTACACATCACACACAGCTCAATTCTTTTTGTGCAGTTCCCTGATCACATGATATATATAATCTTACCATAGTATTATATATTACTTTGGCTATTTATGTCACTTACTACAAAATTGAGCAATTGCAAATCATCAGTTTCCTGCAATTGGATCATCAGGCTCCCCCAAACCCATTCAGCCAATCTTCAAGCTGCAGGACTTCAAGTCCACAATCAGAGCACCAGTGTATCTCTGCCTAATGTACTCCAAGGAAAGGTCATCTCTGTTTGTATGGTCTCTGCAAGGTATCCTATACAACTCCTCTCATGTGTCTCATGCCTCCCTCACAAGGCATCTCACTGTATCTCAATTACTGGCACCCAGAGCCTTAAGTGTGGTTCTCTCCATACAGATGGCGATGCTGTCGAGCCAGCCGACCCTGCAGATGCTGCGTGCGTGCCTATTGGCCGGGCGGCTGTGGCGGCCGGCCGGCCCACCGCGCGCCCCTCTGTCGTCCAGCGGCGGCCCCCTGCTGGTATGCGGCTACACCCGCCTGGTCAGCTCGCTCCGACCCCACTGGGGCAGGGTGAGTGGCGTCGTCGCCGTCAGATGCGAGGCCGTGGAGAAATCAGGTGCGTGAAAACAGTTTTTGTTAAATAGGACATAATACGAAATAGCTTGAAACATATGCTTCCAATCAGAGCTTAAATGGAAAGGGTGTTTTTTGTTGTCCTTAGAGTACAATAACACTGTCGCATTTGTAGCCTGTTTGTTTGCCAATCGTCTTTTTACCATTGCATATACAAATGCTTGTTACTCCAGTTTCTCTCCACCCTGCTATTCTGTCTGTACCCGTAGCTCTTGTTTGCTGGGGTAAGTTCCCATCATACTCCTGACCCACATCACCTCTCTGTTTATGGTTCTGTCACAGTTGCTCTCTGTCGCTCCCAGTTGAGTAGCTCTGCACTTTAGCCATACTTCAATTAGAATTTCTATCGCGCCTTGAGCTCGTACTGTCCGTGTCTTGACATGTATGATACTTGCTCTGGACTGTCGCTAATCGCTCCTTTCCTTCAGGCCGTTTGCTGATGTAGCTATGTATCTCCCTGCATGGGCAGATGCATACTTATGATTATGTCCTTTTGTCCTTCTGATGACGTTGTCCGTCTCTTAAGACGCGTCATTGTCTCAAGATCTCTATCTCTTTAGATGCCTCATCTTCCCCTGTGACCAGTGTCCTCTCATCTCTCGTCGTATTCTTTACCCTCTATTCGCTCTCCCATGTCATGTCATGCATCTGGTGTCCTCCCATGTCACAGTCCGTTTCTTCCACGCACCCTGTTCCTCCTCTGCTTTTTTCCTTGTCCTCCTCCCACCCGTCTCCACCGTTCCTCTCTCTCTACGCTCTGCCGGCCGCTGACGTCTGCCTCCGCCGGGCAGCGGCCGGAGCGGCTGCTGCGCCGCGAGCTGACTGCCCTCCGCCGCCTGCTGGACCGATCCGGGCCCGTCGCCGACACCGCCGCCGGCCGGCGCGCCCTGCACAGCTCGCCGGCCGCCGCCGCCGGCCCGTCCGGTGACCGATCCGGCCAGCCGGCCGGCCCCGACAAGGTGAGGGAGCCGGGCCGGTCCTGAGGCGGACGGGGACGACGAGGCGGTGTTGGGGCGAGGGGGAGGGGACGAGCGGTGCAGGGGAGGCGCGTGAGAGACTGCTGCATATGTCGGCCTGTGTTTATGTGTTATGGCACTCGTTGCTGAGGCTGCGGTATGGAATGGGACATGCCAAGGCGACCGAACTTTTACAAGACTTCTGGCGCTATGCACTTGTGCAGGGGTCTGGCCAGAGTGGTTTGGGGCTCACATTCACCTCTTTCAAGAGGTGCTGTTACTAAACCAAGTGTGCTCACCTGTTTTGTATACCCCCCGCACCTGGTTGTTTTGAAAGCGTGGGACGTAAAAGCGAAAGTAATCATCCAACGTAGTATAATTCCAGCCAGCCCTCCCAAAGTTCACATGTGGCATGTATTCTCTTGCGAAGAGCACTCTGCCGTCTATCGCCCCCCCCCCCCTCCCCAGCCCCCTCACTTATCCCCGTAGTTGTTGCCGTCTATCGCCCCCCCCCCCCCGTCACTAATCCCCGTGGTTGTCCACGGAGCTGTGCCACACCTGGAGCGGCGCCCTGCCTTACCAGCAGGGTCCGGAGGACGACCCGGACAAGAAGAAGCCCGACGGAGAGAGCACCACCACTCAGCTGGCCAAGACCGCGCTCTGGATGCTCGTCATCTACTGGTTCATCACCATCGTGTCCATGCTGTTCCCGAGCAGTAACAGGCCGGATCAGGTGAGAGGGAAGAATGCAGCTCCTCTCTGCTGTGCGCTTTTTTGATGAGTATGAAGGGTGATCGAAGGGCAGCATCCGGTTACATCACTGGCTGCAACCGATACATCGGTATGCCACTTTGTCTGCGATGGTGCTCGTGCTGCTAAGGCGTTTATGTTGTTGTCGTCATTTTTTGATAAACTCATAACAAGAGTCTTCGTGATTTAGGTTTTCTGATGTTAACGACGGTTCAACATATATCGGGCATCTCATGTCGAAGTGTCTATCAGCCCCGGGCGGACGTCTCGCCCGACACTAACCCAAGTCTGCGTCCGTTCTCCGCCAGATCTTCCGCTTCGTCTCGTGGAACGAGTTCGTGCACCACATGCTGGCGCGCGGCGAGGTCGAGGAGGTGATCGTCCGGCCGGACCTCAACCAGGTGACGATCGTGCTGCACGACGGCGCCATCATCAAGGGCAAGCGGGTCGAGTTCAACGTCTTCCAGATGAACGTGCCCGACGTGCACCAGTTCGAGGAGAAACTGCGGGAGGCGGAGACCAAGATCGGTACGTCGTGGGCTGGTGACGCGACGGCGCCGGGTGGTGCTGTTGCGTCAGCTGTGAGTGTGGCGGACGGACGGCTTGGTTTGGTGTGAGCTGCGGCGCTGGGAACTGGGGCATTGGCGAACATCAGACTTGCAGGCTGTGTGTCAGGTTTTATCGTGGAGGCGGCATCAGTCTGTGGTTTAATATTGGTGTTGTGAAGAGCTACTGAACTCAGGGGCCGCGTGTGCGGAGAATGTAGACACACGCAAACGGTAGACTTCATGCTTTCAGTCAGACGTTTTTTCCACCGCAAGATATCACCATGTTTTCGCCCTTGAGGTTGGTTGGAGCATGTAGGAGCTCATACTCTCCTCAAGCTGTGCGGCCAGAGGGCCATGGCCTGACTGTGTACGGGGTGCTCGAACGCCACTGGCTGCCCTTCTGGACATCGCCTGATCCCCTCCCCCCAGGGGTACGGCCGGAGGACCGGATCCCGGTGGTGTACGAACGGTACTCGGACGCGGCCGGCCGCCTCCTCACCACCATCATCATCGTCTCGCTGCTGGCGTACGCCCTCTCCGTCAGCAAGGGCCGCTCGCCCATCTCCATGAACGCGCTGGTGAGGGTGTCGCCGCGCGCGGCCCGTGCGTCGAGCCAGCTCAGGTGCCGCTGGTGCGGAGCGGCGTCAGGGAAGCGGCGGCAGCGAAGCGGCGGGCTCAGAGACCCGGCTCACACGATGTTTGTGTTTATTGGCGTGTGTTCCGCTGTGGCCTGTGAGCCTGTCTCGTGCAGTCCTCCGAAGATGGCGTTCTGGAACTGCGGTGGTCCATGTTAAGTCGCGTCGTCGTGACATGCCGTACCGTTCCACCTTATGAGACAATGACGTCTCCGCTGCACCCTTGCCTCCGCGCACCGAGCTCTCCACTTCTCTCCTGTACTCTGCGCCGGCAGAGTGACATCACTCATTGGCGGCCCTCTCCCGGAAATCGGACGCGCCGCCGTGACGCCCCTCCCTGTCCTCTAACCCCTCCTTCCCCGACCCTCGCCGCCACCGGTGACCCGCCGTCTGTCGGCCGGCCGCCAGGGCTCCTTGTCGCGCGCCAAGTTCACGGTCGTCGACTCGCTGGCCGGCGAGGGTCGCGGGGTGAAGTTCAGCGACGTGGCCGGTCTGAAGGAGGCCAAGCAGGAGGTCATGGAGTTCGTCGACTACCTGAAGCGGCCAGAGTACTATCGCAGCCTGGGCGCCAGGGTGAGTCTCTAGTGGTTTGGCTCCGTGCTGTGGCTCTGTAACGTGGTCCTAGTGATGTAATTCCAATGCCAGCTCTCTCTCTTATAGTGTGACATCGTAGCTCCAGCATTACAGTTTTAGCGCTCTACTTCCACCACCCCCTATTTAAACACCAGGTCAAACTACAGCGAGGTACGGAGCAGCAACTCCGAAACCCCGGAATCTTGATTTGTTGTGTGCTGTGTACGTACGTACGTATGCACGGTTCCGTAACGCGATACCACATTTTTACTCCAGAGCCTGATGTAGTACATCGCGCAGTGCTCCGTGTATGAAGCTGTTATCGATACAGGGCTCGTTAATGGAATGCTTTCAATAGCGTGACCAGGACTTCATCCAGGCCCGATTCAGAACTGTCCCACGCCGGCTGCTGCCCGTTCCTGCCCGTGACAGCCCCCTCCCCTGGATGTTCGCCAGGTGCCGAAAGGTGCGCTGCTGCTGGGTCCGCCCGGCTGCGGCAAAACGCTGCTGGCCAAGGCGGTGGCCACCGAAGGCCACGTGCCGTTCCTCACCATGAACGGCTCCGAGTTCATCGAGATGATCGGCGGTCTCGGCGCCGCCCGGGTCAGGTGCGTCCTCCGGCCGGGCAGTGTCACGTGGACGGCGCTGGCTGCTGGGGACGCGGCCGTCGCCGCCGGTTATAAAGTGGTGGCTCTGCTGTCCCCCAGTGCGCACATGACGCCTTTGGCTCCTGAACTCAAATTGTGATGTTCATTTATTTGAAGCCACTTACCGAGGTTTGTTTCCTTTGCGTGCCGCATTCGCATTGTACTGCGCTTTAAGTGGCGGTTATCGTTTATTGGTCAGTTTGTCACCATTTGTACACCGTTTGGCACGCCGCTCACAGCGACGCAACGATTCGTGCCAATGGAATGTTGTTGCAAGTTCTTCTGACGAGTGTTAAAATAGCAATGCGATGGCACGACCGTATGGTCCAACCAATTCAAAGCTCCCATTCATGGCATGCTTGCTCCTGTACCAAAACCAGACCTCAGCTTTTGTGGCGCGCCGCAGAGTCTTGACCATGGACGTGTTCTCCGGCAGGGATCTGTTCAAGGAGGCCCGGAAGCGGGCGCCGTGTATCGTGTACATTGACGAGATTGACGCCATCGGGCGGGCTCGAGCCGAGGGCGCGGGCAACTTCAGCGGCGGCGCGGGCGAGATGGAGCAGACACTGAACCAGGTGAGAAGGAGCAGACACTGAACCGGGTCAGGCACTGGACCAGGTGAGACCGAGCAGACACTGAACCAGGTGAGAACGAGCAGACTTTGAACCAGGTGAGACACTGGACCGTGTAAAACGGGGGAGACATGGAACCATGTAAGACGGAGGAGACAAGGAGACATGGTGAGATGTAGACACTGGTCCAGATGAGATGGAAAAGACACTGAACCAGATGAGATGGAGACCAGAATGTACACTGGCCCAGGTGAGACAGAGGAGACACTGAACTAGGTGAGATGCTGGACCAGGTAAGGCAGAGGAGGCACCTAACTAGGTTAGAAGAAGGAGACACTAAACAAGGTGAGACGTTGGATCAGGCAAGACGGAGGAGACACCGAATCAGGTGAGATAGGGCTTCCACCAGCTGAGATGTATTTTTTACTACATGATATAAAGCAGATACTGGTCTAGGTTTAAGTAGGATTTTAACGAAGTGGAATTTGGTTGTTGGGGGGTCTTACCCGACTGCGACATGACGCTAAAACGCTTCTGTTGATGAGTTCTACCGTCCGGATCCTATGAGGGGTCCTGACATCCCAGCGTCATCTCAGGTCTCCTGGCTTTCAGTGTTTGTTGATTAATATCAGTTGACGGTGGGTGCTTTGTTGGCTTCAGCTGCTGGTGGAAATGGACGGCATGGCCACCAAGGAAGGCGTGGTCATCCTGGCGTCCACCAACCGCTCCGACATCCTGGATAAGGTGACGACCCACCGCCCCGCGGCTCGGGACCGGCTTCACGGAGCCGTTGTACATGGGCATCTTGCTAGAGAACAGTGGACCTTTTCGGGACGGGACCTTTTCTGTTAACGTTGTGTTCTAGTGTAAGAAGTGTGTGTGTGTTGTATGTTACAGTTGAACACCTGCCTACTTGGTTGATATCATCAGCATACGTACGAGTGACATAAGGGCATTCCTGGTTTCTGCAGTGGCTTGTATTGCCCACTGTCATGCATCCGTAAGTGACCTCGGTTTTTATACTTGATGGACTGGCCCGAACAGCCCTGTCCGGGCCTGGCCTCTCCTGTCTTTCCCTGGCTTAGCTGGATGTTCTCTGCCCTGTCGTGATGCCGCCAGCCACGCTGTGCTGAAGCGCAGGCTTCTGCCCCTCCACGTCTGCCGTGACGTGACCTGCCTGACCTTTGACCCCACGTCATGTCACCTGATGTGCAGTATTCTTCCATGGCCTCGGCTGTTTGGTCCTGACCTGCCTTGACCTCCCGCGACCTCCCATGCCGTTGCGTCACCCGACATGACATGGCCCATCCACATGTGTTGTCCATTCGGGCCGTTTTGATCGTCAATCTGTCCTGACCTAACCTGACCTGACCTGGCCCGGCGGCAGGCGTTGCTCCGCCCGGGCCGCTTTGACCGACACATCCTGATCGACTTGCCGACGCTGGCTGAGCGGCGCGAGATATTCGACCACCACCTGACCTCGATCGTGCTGGAGCACCCGGTGCAGGCCTACTCGTCCCGACTGGCCACCCTCACGCCCGGCTTCAGCGGTCAGTGAACCCGGCGTGTGACCTTGGGAGTCTGTGACCCGGCCTGAAGATATGGGGCAGTCTGTGGGCGGGGTCCATGACCTCGGGGGTCTGTGGTCCGGGCTGACGACATGCGTCAGCCTGTGGTCCGGGCCCGTGACCTCGGGGGTCTGTGGCCCGGGCTGACGACATGGAGCAGGCCGTGGTCCGCGCTCATGACCTCGGGGGTCTGTGACTCAGGCTGAAGACATGGGGCGGCCTGTGGTCCGGGCTCTTGACCTCGGGTGGTCTGTGACCCTGGCTGAAGACATGGGGAAGTGTTTGATCCTGGTCCATGACCTCAGCGGTCTGTGACGCGGGCTGACGACATGGGTCAGTCTGTGACGCGAGCCTTTGACCTCAAGCGGTCGGCTCCCAGCAGTGGTCGGCATACCTTTAACGGCATACCTTTGTTATGCCGTTTTCTGGGACTTAGGGAAGTGGCTGTTGATGACACCCAGTTCACCATCCACGACTGGTATGCGCGTTTCTTCCCTGCCCGAACGTTTTTTTTTTTATTATTCTATATGTATGTCCAGGATTATAAAACTATTAGACAAGTATTAAGTCATTTATTTATATATTATATTTATAGTATTAAGCATTTATTAGCTTATTAAGTATTTATTAAGCTTATTATTTATAGTATTTATATTATTATACGGTATATTATATTCATAGTATTAAGTTACAAGCGTTATACACTGTTATTTCAGCTTGACTGCAGGTCTTCTGTTTTAAGTACCTCCACTCGCTGTCTTCGCATGCCTTAAAGACGACACGCGTTTCCCCAACGTGTGGCCCATTTAATAGTGATCGTCGGGTTTTGTTTTGGACCTTGTCAGCCGTACCTTTCCTCTCCAGAACTGATTGCGCATGGTTTTGATTTCGCCACACTGACCTGACCTGTGACCTGACGCCACGCCACGCGCCCCCAGGCGCCGACATAGCCAACGTGTGCAACGAGGCGGCGCTGAAGGCGGCCCGGGACGGCGCCAAGCGGGTGACGGGCGCCGAGCTGGAGTACGCCATCGAGCGAGTGGTGGGCGGCACCGAGAAACGCTCGCAGGTACGGTGCGGCGTCGAGTGAGTGGTGGGCAGCACCGAGAAACGCTCGCAGGTACGGTGCGGCGTCGAGCTGGAGTACGCCATCGAGCGTGTGGTGGGCGGCACCGAGAAACGCTCGCAGGTACGGTGCGGCGTCGAGCTGGAGTACGCCATCGAGTGAGTGGTGGGCGGCACCGAGAAACGCTCGCAGGTACGGTGCGGCGTCGAGTGAGTGGTGGGCAGCACCGAGAAACGCTCGCAGGTACGGTGCGGCGTCGAGCTGGAGTACGTCATCGAGTGAGTGGTGGGCGGCACCGAGAAACGCTCGCAGGTACGGTGCGGCGTCGAGCTGGAGTACGCCATCGAGTGAGTGGTGGGCAGCACCGAGAAACGCTCGCAGGTACGGTGCGGCGTCGAGCTGGAGTACGCCATCGAGTGAGTGGTGGGCAGCACCGAGAAACGCTCGCAGGTACGGTGCGACGCCGAGCCGGCGGGCCCGGCACGCAGGCGGGGCACGGTCGGGCTCGGCGCTCTGGCGTACCCGAGTGCGCCTCGGGTGTGGCACTGCTCGGGGACGATTGGCAGGTTCGGGCCGGGATTGGCATGTATATGTACGTGTTCTGAGTTAGAGATGATTACCTGAGGTGTAGACATAGAGCTCAGACTGAATGAGTCACGACATCGGGGATGTTAGTGGGGGTGTTATCACTAATAGCTGCTCTGAGATACGAGGCAGAGTACAAAAAACAACGGAAATGCCATTAAGCATGTCTGTTGTGATCCTTACTCGCAGCCCGCAGGTGCGGGGTGCTGCTGTCGATAGAGTTGTGAAGGTGTGGTATCTAGAGGACTAGCAGCCGGTGCTCAGTCGCCATCGGCGGCGGTGTAACTTCGCGTGGGGTGATTACACCGGGACTCCCCCCTTACCAGAGCATGTTCACCAGTATTAAATGTTGCATAAGTCGGTGCCAGTATGGGCAGCAGCCAAACTTTGTCGGCACTAAGCCAGTGCCCAATGATGCATCCAGGCGGTGCTGCTTCGTATCCCAATGTGACCATTGGGCTTTTCATAGAAAATGTACATTTTTTTGTAGATACGAAGTGCCACTACCATTTGCCACAGACTCCTCTGTATGGTGAAGATGGTGTATTCTGCTGTACGCCGCGCGACCATCCTGGTTGGACGGGACTAAGTGCAGTGCGAGGCGTGCTATCATCTCGGCCTATAACCACACATTTGAGATAGGCAGGGCCCGAAACCAGTCTTGCTGAAATCGAAAGTGTTCTAAGATAGCGCGAAGAAAGCAAATTGCTTCGCTGTCATTTTATGCAGACGTGCCAGACCAGCCCTGTCTTCGAGAGCATTGCTGGGATGCGGACGGCGTCGCCGCCGGTGGTGTTAACCCCGTGACCCCGGCACAGCCGGCGGTGTTAACTCCGTGACCCCGGCGCTGCCCTCAGGTCATGTCGCCGGCCGAGCGGCGCGTGGTGGCGTTCCATGAGTCGGGCCACGCCCTGGTCGGCTGGCTGCTCGAGCATACGGACGCTCTGCTCAAGGTCACCATCGTGCCGCGCACCAATCAGGCCCTCGGCTTCGCCCAGTACACGCCTTCCGACCAGCGCCTGTACACCAATGACGAGGTGGGGGCTGGGGAACGGGGAAGGGGACGCCGGAGGGAACGGGGAGGGAATGCTGGAGGTAACACCGGAGGGAATGGGGAAAGGGAATGGGGGAGGGGATGCCAGAGGGTGGGGAAGGGAACACCGGGGTGAAGTGGGAAGGGAACGGGAGGGGGGCGTCGAAGGGAACGGGGGGGGGGGGGGGAGGGTGCGGCGGACCGAAGGGAAGGGGGAGGGGGATAGGGCGACACTGGGTGCCCCATTTGTGATGTACCTGTCTTGCTAAGGCAGGACCGATGTTTGGGTCAGGTGTGTCGAACCTTTCTCAACTACCTGGGAATGCTCGAACAAAAACCATTCACGGCAGAAGGACATTCTTCAGCTCCAGATGGACAGTCCCTGACAAATCCGTTCCACCCTGTCGTCCTATTCATGTATATCAGTAGTGAGTATGAATGCTGACGAGAATGCTGTCTCCCCTCGCTGGTCTTCCTGTCTGAGTCAGCTGTCATCTATTGTTGCTTTGCGCGCTATTCATGTAGTGTGTAGCAGGGGCCGTCCACATATTAAATACCGAGCACATGGAGGAGGTTCTGATGGAACGTAATAGAACCGTAACAAGGGTATGGTTGCATAACGTCATATGGAGCACAACGTCCCAGAACGTAATAGAACCGTAACAAGGGTATGGTTGCATAACGTCATATGGAGTACAACGTCCCACTCCCGCTTCTCAGGAGTGGGACGCTATGCTCAGGTATGGCTGCAAATCATGCCTAGGTCTTTTTTAAATTGTTGTCTCTCGCTCTTGAGAAGCACCGCGCCCGTCCCCGTTTCGCACCTCTAGCTCAGCTGGTGATTTTGTTTCGGGTGCATCGACTGCAAGTGGTCGCGGCGCCCATCTTGACCTCAGTTTGGGCCGAACGGACGTTGACATTTTGGGACGTTGCGTGAACACAGCGTAACAGGGAGATGAGGAACGGCTTCACCCAGTGTAACCAGTGTGTAACCGGGGAAGGGTTAGAAAATGGCCAAAATGCGCAACGTAGTTTATGGACGATCCCACATTATGTAATTGATCATTCATTTCACGTGGCAAAAGCCGTTCTGCTCAGGAACCGAGGGAGTATGCGTGTCGCATGTCCTCGCTGCGGGGGCGATGAAGGTCCTCCCAAGTAAGGGGGGGGGGGATCGATAAACATTTTTGCGATTTCTAGTCAATGCCCTTATAGTCGTCAGCAAGCTGAGGGGGGGCTCAGCCGGCCCCCCCCCCCCCTCCGACTCGTCCCGTCCCGCCCTACCATGCCCTGCTCTGCCCTGCCCTGCCCTGCCCTGCCCTGCCCTGCCCTGCCCTGCCCTGCCCTGCCCTGCCCTGCCCTGTCCTGTCCTGTCCTGTCCTGTCCTGTCCTGTCCTGTCCTGTCCTGCCCTGCCCTGCCCTGCCCTGCCCTGCCCCGGCCCGGCCCGTATCGCACCTCTGGCCCTCGGTCTGACCTCATTTCTAACTGTGACCAGCTGCGTTGGGTGGAGATGAGGATATTGTCATGGTTCCCAGCTGACACCATCGTGACGTACGTGTTACGTATGGATGGCTTACCGTTGGGCACCCTGTGGTCGAGTTGTTGCTTGGCGCGGGGTGCCGTCGCGGGTAGCGTGGCCGAGCGGTCTAAGGCGCTGGTTTAAGGCACCAGTCTCTTCGGAGGCGTGGGTTCGAATCCCACCGCTGCCATAGCTTTTCCCTTTTGCACGATACATTCCGTTTTCTGGTTCTTTCAAACCCACTAAACCGTTTCTGTTATATTGGTTGCGGGTTAGTGTTCCTCTGCAAGCCGTGTCGATAGTAAAAGGTCTCGTGAGCCGCCTTACCGCAGAATCGTAGGCGGGCGACAGGTCTTAGTTAACATGGCAACAGGAGTTTGAAGTATCTTTTTCATACTTCTGGTTGACATGAAGTGAGAGAACCTTTTCGATGCTTCGGGTTAGTAATAAACGTGGTTTTAATCGGGGCTTTACGGCGCACGCAACTCCTTAGGCTATATGGTCTGACCCGCCTCATACCCGGGCAAGAAGGGCCAAACACTGCGGGAACTCGAACCTCGTGCCTCTGGTGTCCGAGAGGGGCAGCTAAATATTAATAAGATTGCAAAACAATGATGTAACAATGAACACCAATAAGTTATGAGCCATTCTTTCTCTTTCCTCTGTCGGGTGATGTGGGTGGCTGATGTAGAACATGGCACGCATGCATCGGTCACGCATATCCCGACGTCCTTTTCGTCAGCTGTTCGACAGAATGTGCATGGCGCTGGGTGGCCGCTGCGCCGAGGCTCTGGTGTTCGACCGCGTCACCACCGGAGCGCAGAACGACCTTGACAAGGTCACCAAGATGGCGTACGCCCAGGTTAGTGTCGGCACTCGCTGTGCCTTCGGAGCGCGTTTGGGCGTCGAACGCCGCTGCGATTTTTTTTTTTTTTGCCGCGTGTTGTACATTCGCGCATTCGAGTTTTCCCTCATGCGAGCACACAGGCTTCGAGTTGGCATTTTAGCGTTTTGTTAGGTGTGCGGCTGTCTTAACCTATATTGTGCTTTTCATGGAGTGTATTCATCCGGCTGAGCCGCCAATGTCAACCATTCATCACCATGCGTCATGGCAAATGACACCTCATTTTTAACAGACATCAGCGATCAAACGTGCAGCTTCATATGCGGTGCCAATTACGATGGGAGCTGCAGGCCTCGATCAAACATGCAGCCTCGTATGGGGTGCCAGTTACGATCAGGGCTGCAGGCCTCGATCAAACATGCAGCCTCGTATGGGGTGCCAGTTACGATCAGGGCCGCAGGCCTCGATCAAACATGCAGCCTCGTATGGGGTGCCAATTACGATGGGAGCTGCAGGCCTCGATCAAACATGCAGCCTCGTATGGGGTGCCAATTACGATCAGGGCTGCAGGCCTCGATCAAACATGCAGCCTCGTATGGGGTGCCACTTACGAACAGGGCCGCAGGCCCAGCGAGTGTCCTCTGAGCGGTGAGAAAGTGCTGAATTTGGCGACCGCCCCTGCTGTCTTGCCTTAAAGAATATAATATCCTCGTGAATCGTGACCACTGCTAGCAGCCTCATGTCGCTTTCAGCAAGAAGGGCAACTGTTCAAACGTTGTGCTGTTTCGATTTGCGCACAGTTGTTGCCAGTTGCGTGACCAGGTGGCTCAACAACTTTCATGTAGGTGTCTAAATTTTCCGGGGATAATGTATTTTGAACAAAACTGGCATTTGCTGTTGACGTCGGAAACGGGATGTTGCCCGGTTGGGGAACAGCTGCACAACACGGCCCTAGCGAGGCCCTGATCAGGGCAGCTGTCGGTGTAGCAGCGGCACCAGACCAATGCGGCATGAATCAGTCACGCCCTGCGGACCGCACACCGGTCCCAGTCTGGGGGCGTTTTGGTAAGGATTGGTATCAGATTCCGACATCCACAGCAGGGCACGGCTAGTGTCAGCGTGCAGCGCGCGTGGCGACCGCGGCACTGTCCGACGAATGGATGTGGCGGTAACCGACGGACGGGAAGTGGTCAATGTCGCCTTTTTACGAAGCTGGCCTCGTAGACCGCAAGTGGTGACTTAAAGCAAACAAGGAGGTGTTTGGTCGTGGGAGCTGCTCATACATATGGTCGGGCTCGTTTTGACCAATGTTCATCCAGCCTTTTTTTTGCCTTTCTGAAGCTAAATCACAGTGATGAAGCAATTTTGTGGACCGAAATTGACTGGCTTGGCCGGATGCACGGCTAGGGAACTAGAAGTTTGCGCGCCTAAAGCCGGACTCAGAATGCCGAAACAGTATAACTTTTGAGATCGGCAGATAATCCCCGCACCCGTGAACCTGTGCTTACCGAGCTATCACTCGGTACGCACCAAACTCCCTGCAACGCCCGACGACCCCAGCTAACCCCGCGCCCTCGGTCCCCTTCAGGTGCGCACGTACGGCATGAACGAGGCCGTGGGCCTGGTATCGTTCGACCCGCCAGGCGCCGGCCGCCGGCCCTACAGCCGCAAGCTGGCCGCCCTGGTGGACGCCGAGGTGCGCGCGTTGGTGGCGCGCGCCTACCGACACACGGAGAGCGTGCTCCAGCAGAACATGGCCCAACTCAACTTGGTCAGTGGGTGAGGGGAGAATGCGCGCAGGTTCGCGCGGAGCTTTTGTGGCGTACCGGCCGCGTTCAACCTGTTATCGTACGGTTTTGCCTGTGGTTGGGAAGGTGAGAACGTTTTCGGTGTTTCGAAGACATGGGTAATGGGTTGTGTCTCCGGATGTTGCGTTTCATCCCAAGGCCGTGCAAAGAGCAGTCTGAGTGATAGAGTGTTACGGTGCAGCGTCTGTTGCCAGTTGTGTCATGGCCTGCAGGCGTGTGCGAATCTGTGATTCATCTTTGTCACATGTTTTGTCTACTCTATGTGTAGACAAAAAACGTGAAAACCACGACCACGAAAAGAGCTGCGAACAACCACGAAAAGAACCGTGGTGTATCTCAGCCGCGTTTCCCGGACGCCTTCACAGTGCCGCTGCCCCTTTCCCCCCCCCCCCCCCCCCCCACGCCCGGGTAACATCAGCGCCGTCGCCGCAGATGGCCGAGGCTCTGATGTCGCGTGACACGCTCAACTACGACGACGTGGTGTCGCTGATCGGGCCGCCGCCACACGGCCACAAGCGCACCGTCGAGCCGCAGGAGTTCGAGGGGTCGCTGCAGGCGGCCGAGGCGGCCGAGGCAGGCCGGCCGCCGCCGCCGGCCGACGCCGAGCCGCCGCCGGCTGGCGACGCCGACGGCGCCGACAAGGCACAGGCTGAGCGACCCTCGTAGTCGCGCCGCGGCGGCGGGGTGGTGCGAGCGCCGGCCTGGTCCGGCGAGCCAGTGTGCTGACGTCGGCGGCGGCACAGACCCGGTGTGGCGGAGGCAGGGGACGGGCTTGCCTAGTCGGGCAGCGCGGCCCAGCCCGCGCTGGACGTTGAGGAAGGGGCCGGCCGTGCGGAATCCTGCCGCTACTGAGGAGGATGGAAGGCGGTTTCTTAGGCGATGACGTGATCAGTCCATTATGTGTGTGTATGTGTGTACATCCTGCTCGTGAGCGAAAGCTCCGGTCGAGCGACCGTCCACCGCCAACGTGGAGGAGTACGTGGGATCTTGTCCCTCCCCCCCCCCCCTCCCTTGCGGTGGAGGCGTGGAAGGTAATGCCGTCGGAAAACGACTAAGTGACCGAAGCGTGGGGCACCGGCCCCTTCTGCGTTCACCGGCGCTCCCGTCTAGTATGCAGCGTGCAGAAGTTCCGGAAGTGGCTAGGCAAGCGGGGATGGTTCCGCCTGCGCTGCCAATGGTCAGACGCTCTTCTAGGAGGTTGTGTGGAGGATATCGCTGGCGCTGAGAAGAGCTGGTGCAATACACGTGCCGTGGTTGTCTGGAGCTCTGCATGTGGGTCTTGCCGTAGCTGGGCACGGTTCTCACCGCCAGTGCAGTCCTTCGCTGGATGCACATGTCACGTGTTGTTTGAAATAGTATGATGAACTAATGGCAACGGAAAACGGAATGCCCAGACAGATCCAGCTCAAGTTTGTCGAGCATTGCACTGAGTGGCGTAATGTTGAAGAAGTTGGCCGTCCCCGCCAATGGCTGTCTGGTCCTGAATACAGGGCTTTCACACATTTCTGATCATGACCTATTTTGGGCACGAGAGCACTCGAGACAGTTACGCAATTCAAAGGTGCTCAACTGCTTATTCATTCAAACGCACTTGAATGAACAGACAAAAAGCACACTTGGATGAAAGGTATTAGGCTTTCGACGCGGCTTTTTCCAGACCGCCTTCTGCGTTTCGCAGGTTCGCCGACTTTTCCTTGGACCGCGCAGCTTGTTTTGGGCCATTCGAAAAGAAAAGTGCACCAGCAATTGGTGTATTTCGGTATGTGGCGTGCCAACTTTGTCGAGGATGGCGTTGGTCTTCCCGGCGATGCTGTGCGCACATGAGGGGAGGTGCTGCCAATAATATGGTAATCTGGTGTGAAACGTTCGTGACGCAGCAACGACAATTGTGTCATCCTTTTCCATAGCGTGCCGAGCGAGGCGCGATTGTCGATTCTTGCCAATTCTGGCCAATCGTTTTTCTCAGCACTAAGGGTTCGAAAAGGTAAGATTCGGATTGGTTCAAAAGATTGCCATCGAATAAGGAACATTTGTGCGCAAATTTTGCGTGCATTGATCTTGCCCTGCGCAAGCATTGTGGGTGTACAGTATCGCTACTCTGTTCTCGGATTGGTTCTTTATTTTATCATAAAGATTTGGTCTCTTTGTTGGGAGTGGAAGTCATCTTGGGACATTGAGTGGTTTTCTTTCAGTGCCCACTGGCTATTTGTTTGGTGAAAAGTATATTGAGTTAGCTTTCTGCTTATTATTTTATGTGTAGTGCAAAGGTAGATATTGCTTCTACTCCTTGTGCACATTGGATGAATTGTGGTAGTGTGACTAATTATGGTTCTTGTTACAGGCACGGCACAGCTTGTAATGCATAATAAGATATGTCATTAACATCAAAATTGTTTCTGGCAGCATCTTGTGGTGTTTCTATAGGAATTATTAGTTATGTTCACATAAAACAGCAGGTTGACAGGTGAGGTTAGCTGTGTAGCTATTAAGTAATGTTGCATCAAGATAGGACAGATTATTTGTTTGTGACTCAATTTTTACATAATTATAAGATGATCTAAATGTTACATATGAGCTGTTGAATTGGTGCTGCTGAAAATTAGGTGTGCACCGGTTGTGTAAGAACTCAATTTTCATCAATGTCAAATAACTCAAGCCATCATTCATTATTTACATGCCCACTTTGGCATAGGATAAATCAGGTGATTCTGGCTATTCAAGTTGTTGCTGCTGATGCACTACAACCTGTGGCAGACTTCAGCAACTCTGTGTGGGGGCAGAGGTGAAGAAAGATGTCAACTGGTATTAACTTTGTAAATTTTGGGGCAGGGATTTTGTGAATGGGTATTGCATTTTAAAAATATGATAAAAGAATGTAATTTGTTGTCATTTAAATTGAAAGACTCATTCTGGTGTCCAAAACATAGCACTGAAAGGTCTGTCAAAGTCTGCAGAGCAGCTGCAGCAGAGGCCAATCAACAGACCATGTAGGGTCATCATCTGACATTGTACATTTTCACATTTTCCTGTTGTTTCACATTTTAAGAGTACAGAAAAGCTCAATGAAATTTAAAAATGGATGCAACCCTTGACCCTTCAATTTCATGGCTAGAATTATTGTAATCTTGTTTAGTCAAATAAACAAGGGCCCGCCCATGCATCAAATTTAATATGAATGGCAGTCATAGTATTTTCCAAGATTCAGAGAAACTTTCAGTTCTGTCATAAGTTGTGCATTCTGAAAGGAGAGCATGATTAGCATTGTTAAGCACCTTTTTATAGATTACCAACCATTGTTTGACTTTGACATAAATGACTGACGCCTGATGCATCAAAGCACAATTGAGATGATAGACAGCTTGTGAGAAGTTTATCTGGGCAGATGGAGCATTAGAGCATAACTAGGTTTTACCCTCTCAGCTCCCGCGTGGCGGCGTACCCGTCACATTCTCTGAGGTGCTAAGCGCGAGTATTTGGCAGGGAGCGACTGCACGAGGGCGTTATCCGGGACGTGGAGCGGCAGCAGAGGCGCAAGACTGAGAACCTGGCCGTGCTCGGCAAGCAGCACGACCTGGAGAAGATCCTGAAGCGAGAGCGGGACAGCGGCCACGCCGACAGCGAGCACCACTGACGCTGAACAGAGCCGCCGGCGGAGGGGTTCCGAGCGCACTCGAGTGGCAGGCGACCTACGTCGCTCCTTGTGGCCGGAAGTTGCCGATATCGGGCCGTGTTCTCTCAGGCGTTCTAGTCACCCCGTGGGACGTCATGACGCACGCGGACTCCCAGTCCGCCGCCGAGCAGAAGCTGCCGCCGGCGCTGATGCCGGCCGCGCCGCCCGCCGGCATCAGCGACAACCTCACCGTCATCCCGCGCAAGAAGCACGTGTGCGAGCTGCAGACCATCATCCGCGACAAGACCACCTCGCGTAGCGACTTCAAATTCTACGCGGATCGGCTGATCCGGCTGGTGGTGGAGGAGGGCCTGAACCTGCTGCCCTACACGCCGGCTAGCGTGACGACGCCCACCGGCCGCCAGTACCAGGGCTTGCATTACCAGCGTGGCAACTGCGGCGTCAGCATCGTCCGCAGCGGCGAGGCGATGGAACAGGGCCTGCGCGACTGCTGCCGCTCCATCCGCATCGGCAAGATCCTCGTCTCGTCCGACCTGGACACGCACGAGGCGCGCGTCGTCTACGCCAAGTTCCCCGAGGACGTGGCCGAGCGGCGCGTGCTGCTGATGTACCCCATTATGAACACAGGCAACACAATCGTGCGCGCGCTGCATGTGATGCGCGAGCACGGCATCCAGGAGGAGAACGTGATCCTGCTGACGCTGTTCTGCACGCCGGCGGCCGCGCGCCTCGTCACCGCCAGCTTCCCCAACCTACGCATCCTCACCTCGGAGATGCACCCGGTCACGCCAAACCACTTCGGCCAGAAGTACTTCGGCACCGACTGAGCGGGTGGTCGCCGCTGGGAGGCTGGTCTGCGGACCGGGAGGGGGTGATACGTGGCGCGAGCGGCGGGCGGCGCCGTCCTGCTCAGGGTAGCGAGCTTTGACGCCGAGTTGAGCGCGGAGTCGACTCACGACGGGGTGTCTGGGACCCGGGGCTGGTTTAATTTGGTCGAAGATGTTTATGTGTTGGCGAAAGCTTGCAGTTCTGTATGGCATTAATAGTTTTCCGCGCTGGGCGCCTGGATTACTCATCCCTTGCTATAGGTGTTTTTGCTTTTGCGTGAGAGCGTTACATAACCCCGTCCGAAGAAATATAGAGTTTTGGTTGATGATTCGTTTCCTAACGTGTTTCCAACCGAATCGATGCTGCAAAGCAAATCTTGCGGCTGGGCCTGCTGCCCTTCATCAAAACATGAAAAAAAAATGCCGAAGGTGTCAATTTGTCAACTGTTTTGAGTTGTTACAATGCAATGCCGAAAAGGGTATATTGTAGATTTAGCTGAGCCGAAGTTATGCGTTTCCCTCCCGTTGTTTTGCCTCTTCATGATCTGAAACTTACAAACGTGCTGCACCAATGCGGATAGAATCACAATACCCCCATCGGTTATTGTGTGGGTCTGTCACTGTGGACTGTGGATTGTGGGAGTGTCACCATGTCTCAGGTCCCCACATCGTTTTGGAGTGATTGCATCCAGGTCACGGTACATCTCCAAGAGCGTGACCAGAAACATGCAGGACTACCCCTAAGCATATCCATCTCAGCCAGCTACAACTGCATACACGTACGGTGTGCCAACTATAGGGGTTTGATCGGTCAGAACTACACCTCGTAACCCGAAAGTGACTATGCACACCTGGTCGCACGCGAAATGTGCGTACCTGGATGGATACGATCTCCTAGGTGTAATGTTGGCTACGGACTGCCTTAACGCACGTGGCCGCACGCAGGTGCCTCCACGCACTCGGTCGCAGAAGACTGCGCGTGCGTGGGCGTCGCGCGGATCAAAACCCCGGCACCATGGCTGGTGTTCCGCCACACATTGCGCGTAATCGCTGTTTGGCGCGAACATCCGTCTGTGCAAAAACTATCCTATCTGGGATCTACTTGATGGTACTTGCATCGCCATGCCTAGTGTGTTCAATATGGCGAACACTTCTGAAACGCCTGAAACGCATTGTATGTCAGGGGCCTGTCCCACCGTAACAGACCCGAAGACACGGATGTCTGGTGCCCGTATTGGAGCTGAGGGGGTGGGTGGTAGATGGTACAGACCCGCCCTCTCGCCATTCTCAAATGGCAGCAAAGCTAAAAGTTGCCTACACCGAAGTATGGTGCGCATTCTATCAAGAAAACGAGACGCCAGATAAGGAGCAAACAAAAGACCAAACGAGTGGGCAAAATGTTAAGCCATCGCCTGGCAGACAGAGTGTTCCCTGCCTCGGCCACGGACCGGCCGCACCAACGCACGAAACAGTACGTCTCCGCGTCGCCTGTGCCGCGGCAGAGCTGCCGTCCAGTGAAGGCCCACGTACTCGGAGGCCTGTTAGATCTCTCGCTGAACGCAGTGGTCAGTCGGGTTGACCCCAGCCCCACGCGCCATGGCAATATCCAGCAGCCAGAGGCCGGCGTCGCCGTCCGCGGAAGGATACTGAGGAAGCTGGGGAACGGAGAAACAAAAGAAACAACAAACTGCATACGTTTGTGAGCTCGGACGCGTGTGGCCAGTTGTGTGAAATATTTCAATTGGAGTTAGCGGTGAGGTTTGTCAGAAAATTGACTTTGATTTGACTGTCTCCGTCATGTTCAATGTCCTCGACCAGGATTCAGTGAAGATCTTTGAGCACAAATAACGATAAGCACGTTATCATCATTCTACATCGCGAATATTTCCCGAGTCGCCTTGCTTACTGGCTGACGATTCGTCCTCTAATCACGTTGTCTTTGATGCAAAACAAAGCCGCTTGTGACTGCTGCTAGACCCATCATGGAATGTTGACCTGGCTTGGGCCTGCTATTCGACCTATGTCCACTACAAACCGGTATCAGAGACACTACCCCACATTAATACTCTGAAGGCTTCGCGATCAGTATTTCTGGGGGCAAAGATGGCAATGGTAGGAGACTCGCAACCCCCCCCCCCCCCCCTCCCCCCCCTCATCCCGGCCGTGCATCATCGCAGCCACTTAGAGTGGACGTCATGATCTCGGCGTACGGAACGGCCGCTGCGTGGCATGCTCACGGGCTATCCGCCCGCTGCGCGCCACTACCGACAGCACAGATCGTCATCGTCTTTACAGCACCACTGTCGTCATGGAAACATGGCGCCACGCTACTAGGACATATATTTGCCAAACAACGTAAGAATACAAAAGTACCCTCGTCCGATTACCAATTTAGAGAATATTCGTGCCGGGCTGTTACGCTCCACCCGCAAGCGGCGTTATAGCACAAGTAGCGCCGACGGACGTCCAGCGCTGGCGGGCGGCCGGGTCGCCCCGCTGTGCGACGCCCGGCGGACCCTGACTCGAAGCCGGCCTCCTCGACTCGGGGCCCCGACTCCGTCCTCTCCCGCCTCCCCGCGACGCGACGCGCCCTCCTGACTCCGAGCCCTGGCTCCCCTCGGGCCCGACCCTGGTCGACCGGAGCGCCGCCTGGTCGACAGGGGCGCTGCCTCCTCTCCCGGGGCGCCGCCCGTCTCGCGCGCGCCGGCCGGGCCCGGGCGGCGCCCACTGCGCGTGGCCGCGCGGGCGGTGGCGCGCCCCGTGCGCGGTCGGCTCGCTCGTGTCGGCGCCTCTGCCGCGCCGCCTAGTCGTCCTCTTCGGCCAGTGCGCTGTACATGGTGGGCTGGGCGAACTCGGCCGGCTTCTCGTCCAGCACCTTGGGCGGGCGCGGCGCCCGCTCCCGCCTGTCGAGCGAGGCCGTGTCAGGCGGACGCTTGGGCGCGCGAGAGCTCCAGCCGCACGGCCCGGCCATACACTGCGCGACGCTATGCGGCGTTACACAGCCTCCCAGACGTCACGGAGTGGTGGGCTGGTGATGTGGGGACAGACACACCAACACCCCAGACACGTAGGAGTGGTTTGCCGACAGCGTGGACATACATAGTGGTTTGTGGACATAGGAGTGTTTTGTCGACAGAGTGGACACAGAGCGGACAGACATCAGGACACCCCAGACACGCAGACGTCAAGGAGTGGCTTGTCGACAGGGTGGGGACAGACGCATCGACATCCCAGACATGTACACATCAAGGAGCGGTTTGTCGACAGAGTGAGGACAGACATAAGGACAAGGACACACGCAGACGTCAAGAAGTGGTCGGCTAGCACCAGGCGGCCGCAGGCTGGTCGATGGGTCGAAGGTCGACACGGTCACGCGTAAGCGAGCGCTCACCCGCCAACACCGGATGCACGCCGTCTTTGACAGAGGCCAGACTGACGCCGTAGGTGGAGTTCACGACGTCAGACACATCGCCACCCTGCGTGCCCCAGCGACAGCGGCGTCTCAGCAGGTCTGTTGATTCACGCGTCACGCACGGTACCGCTAGGGGCGTGCGGGCCCGTGTGGGGCGGACGCGACAGACGGCCGTGTCCAGTCCTCAGGGCGGCGCAACACGTACCTCTCGGCGCCCTCCGCCTTCCCATTGGTCTCTCCGGAACTGGCCGCCCGCTCGTCCTGCAACGACAGCATCGTCAGACTCAGAGGGCAAGCACGCGGAGCGACACACAAGAGCACCACCAATACAACACGGGACGCTCATTACAGCCTCGTCGCGCCGGCCTCAATCGACAGGCGGCGGACCCATCCGAGCCCAGCCGCGCTCCAGCCTCCCTCCAGCACCGCGCCGGAGGCTCACCTGGTCAGCCTTGGGCTTGGGCGGCGGCCCGTCGGCGAGGCGGATGTCGCGCGAGGCCTCAGCGCGCCGCTGCGAGCCGGAGGGCGCGCCGTCGGTCGGCGGCGGCCGCGGCCCGCTCCGTCGACAGGCCCTTGAGCCGCTCCTCCACCTCGCGCTCGCGCGCCGTCGTGTCGACGGGCCGCGCTCCGCCGAAGATGCTGCTGGACGCCGCCGGCTTTCCGATCTCCTCGGCCGGCACCGAGCGCGGCTTCAGGTTCAGCTTGGGCCGCGCCGGTGCCGCCCGGTCGCCGTCGGCTGCCGGCACGCGGGCGTGACGTCACTCACTGGCCGGCCGGCGGCGCCAGCAGCGCCGCTCGGGTGAACACGCTCGTCAGCGGTGCCGGCGGCGCGGAGGCGAAGCTCACCTGTGGAGCCCTCGGCGCTGTCTGGTCCGTCCCTGCCTCCGTAGCGGGGGCCGTCCCTGGAATCGCCGCGCGGTCCGTCGCTCGGCTCGTAGCGCGGCCCGTCCCTGCTATCACGCGGGCCGTCCCTGGAACCATACCGCGGACCGTCCCTGAGAAACAGAACCACCAGGCGTGACTGCAGAGCACAGCTGAATCGCCTAATCGCGGCAAGCGACCGTCACAAGCCTACTGGCAAATCTCCAGCACCAATGGCGAGTTTTTGTGATCCACGTTTATAACTAGAGGGGAATCTTATTTACGACTGATGATGGCTGATTTAAGTTCATCGCGTTGTACCAGGTTGCTCAAAGGATGCCGTTCCCCGCGCTGCCACATCCCTTTAAACGTGGGTAGCGCGGGGAGGGGAGAGGCGGTTGGTGCAGCAGTTTGGGGAGCGCCGTCCGCGCCAAGTCACGTTGATCGACTAGTTAACGGACGTCACGCGCTGGCCGATGCAGCCGCACCAGCCGGGCCGGCCGCCGAGTGCAGAGTTGACGGGCGGCCCGCCGCCCCGGCTCGGACGGCGCGCCGGCGCAGTTACCTGTCATCCCGGCCTGGAACAGGGCAGACGGGAGACCGTGTCACACGCGGCGGCCAGGGTCAGAGGTCAGACGCGCGGGGGGGGGGGGGGCAGAGAAGGCGGGATGGGACAGGACACGCGACCAGCACCGATCAGAGTACAGAAACGCCCGCAGAGTCCCATCTGTGCCAAAACCTGTATGGCATGATGGTTTTTTTAGATTTAATTCCAACTCTGGCAATGGATGGATTTCCGTTATCAGGGATAATACTAAGCAGTGTTTGTGAGCCTCGACCTCTACCATCTGATGGTGAAATCCCAGGTGGACCACAACATTTGGCGGCGAAAGTTGAACATGCCGCAATGCTCGGCACGGTCCATTCTCCCCCTGCCGTCAACTGACCTTTCGCACGAAGACATTGTTTACTGTACGCGTTGAAGAACGACTGAACGCAGTGCAAATTCTTCAAGGAGATAGCACGACGCACCCGAATACACTGAGCAGTTCTGCGTGACGACGCAAAAACAAATGCAACAAATATCGAAGTCGCCTTCCAAATCACGCAGGCAATGAAAGCGAGCGCAGCCTAATAGCAGAGCAAACACAGGAACAACGCCACAACGGCAATTTTAATTTTACCTTTACTGTAATATCAATCGCCAAAGTAGAGCTGGCACGTGCACTTCCCCGTTCAGTGAAAATACGTGCGTTTTGTCATCAACACTGTGCACATCACCATCATCATCATTCCGTGCACGCCAGCGGTCGCCCACGTTCGTTGCGTGCGCAGCCCGAGCGATGACTGGCACCCCCTGTATCCTCCGTGCATTCACTCATCACACTCCCCACGCATTCCCTAACCAACACCCTTTGAGCGCCCGTGCGTCGCGTCCCTCTGTTTAAAGCGACCATGCCGCAACACCCGCGTCGGCCGCCACCGGCAGCCTACCTCGGTCGCCGAAAGCGGTCGTCCCCCCGTCGGTCGTAGCCGAAGCCGCCGCCGCCGCCCGCCGCGGTCTGCGAGCACGGGCAAACGACGCGTAAGCCGACGGGCCCGGTTGCCAGCGCTGCGCTCCGCCGCGTCTCGGCGGCCTCTTAGCTGTCAGACGGCGAGGGCATCACGGTCGCTTTGCATCACGGCCCACCCACTTGTGCTATGTAAACAGTTCAGCAGCGGCGCGTAGGAGACGACACACATAGAGTGCGGCGTTCGTTTGGCGGCGCCCCGACGGCGCAGACCGCCGCACGAGTGGAGATGGCTCAGGGAGGCACGCTCGCCTGGTACGCTAACGTCGCTCGAAATACCCGCTGAAAAGGAGTGTCTAGATGTCGGGACGCAGCCGACGTCGTACGAACTAAGCCGAGTGAGGCCAACGGACAGAGCCGCAGAGCGCTGTCGCATGGATACCGAGCAACGCGACAGCAACGCAAGAGAGCGGCGCCTCCCGCTGGCCTCTGATGGCTGGTATCGGCTGAAGCACCGGTCGAAATCAGTGGCATAGCTCAAACATATCAGTCAGCGTGAGGGAGGCGATCTCTTCCCGCAACTTCCAATGCTTACTCTCTAGACACTCACTGGCGTAAGGCTTTGCTTAACCGCATAGAGTGCATGAACCACAACTGAGGAAAGGACCCACGAAACACGAACGTACGACGCTATCACGGCAGTTGGCATCCAGAAGCAAATTGCTGTTGTTTACACTGGTGAAAACGTGGGTCGGGCCATACCTCTATCCCCGTAGCGGTCGTCTCGACTTCCGTATCGGTCGTCGCCTCGTCTGTCATAGCCAAAGCCACCGCCTCCTCCTCGATCTACAACAGATTACGTAGCGTTGCGTCAGCATCCAGGCCTCGCTTCGGCGTCCGTAGGCGCCCAAACAAGCGGGTCAGCCGCTCATCGGTCCACACGCTGGCACGGAACAGCATTCGCTCTCTAGCCGGATACGAATGTCGACGAGGACACTCTCTAGCGTACGCGGCGAGCATGGACCACGGCGCTCGGCGCGAGCGGCGAGCTGGTGCAGACGTGGGTCTCACCATACCTCTGTCACCGTAGCGGTCGTCTCGACTTCCGTAACGGTCGTCCCTTCGTCTGTCATAACCATAACCACCGCCCACTCGATCTACAACAGATTACGTTACGGTGCGTTAGATTTATCGGAGAGTCCTGTGGCTATTGCTAAGACGCAGCCTGGTGATGATGTTCAACGGAATATTGAGACAATGGGTGGGTTACAAAAGAGGAGCGGAACATAAGTTCGTGACAATTTCAGACTTCTTTCTTCTGGGGCGGCTTCTTTTTTCTGGAGGGGGACGACGAAGGAAAATGAAAAGAACAAAGCATTCGAAGAACTGAAATCATCCAAGCTTCTTGATTTGGTGATGCACATGCGGCATCGTAAAATACAGCGCAGAATGGGCCGAGCCTGATATCCTGATGCGTCATCTTGTGAAGAAAGAAAAGAAACGGAAGTTCTCCTCTTTCGAGGACGACGTGTTATGCTTAAACAAGCAATCGGCTGCGCAGCATTCCTAACGTTACAATGTCTGGCAAACAGCGTATCGCACAATAGCTTATAATGCAACGAGAGCCATACAAGCACTAAACGATAGCGCAAAATACCTTAAACTCAGCAATCACACCCTTGGCCAAAGAACCACAACGGCAGCTCAAGAAAAGCGGCGTCCATCCAGTCATCATTCCGCTAGTGACTCATCCAGAACCAGCACGTGACAAAGCCTCACCAATAGCCCAGCCGCAAACAACATACCGTGACACAGAATTTCAAATGTTTCGACCAGCGGGTTCGACAAGGCCACTTTCAGAAATCAGGCGCCAACCCCATGGCAAGTTCCCAGGAAGCGTTGCACTGGCGCAGAGACGGATCTGGCCATACCTCTATCCCCGTAGCGGTCGTCTCGACTTCCGTATCGGTCGTCGCCTCGTCTGTCATAACCATAACCACCACCACCTCGATCTACAACAGATTACGTTACGGTCAATTAGGTGAGGTCAAAATAATTGACAGAAGCTGAGGAAAAGCAGTGTCCCGCAGCGACAAGGTGTCCGTATAGAAAATTCGGACGCGGCCTTGAGAAACTCCACTGGCTTCCTAAGCCCGCAGACCAAGAGACCCATCAAGACGAGACTGCCTTGCATGCAAGTCACAAGGAATAGGAGTGCTCCAACACATCAGGTTTTCACATCACAGGACAAGGCTGTAAGCGCCCCACTGAGGGCGTGGCCATACCTCTATCCCCGTAGCGGTCGTCTCGACTTCCGTACCGGTCGTCCCCTCGCCTGTCACCATAACCATAACCGCCACCACCTCGATCTACAACAGGTTACGTTACGTTAAAATACGCCTTACGACGGCCGCTCAGCAGGACGAGACGAGGCACTCGGCGAGTTCCACTTCACACGAGCAACCTGAGGAAAGTGCATCAAACACGCGCGCCGTCGACCCCAGCAACGCGCAAAACCGGGCGTCATGTTCAGCCTGGAGCCTGGCTGCGGCAGTTGCACTGCGCGCCTCGCCTCGGATCCCGATCCGGAGGGTCAGCGTGGCGGCGACCGACCCGACCCGGCCCCGCCGTCACACCCACCTCCGCCGCGGCCGTAGTCGGAGAAGGACGGCACCGCCTCGTACTTGCTGCCCGGGCGGTTGGCCATCGTCGGCCCCTGGTCCCGGTCTGGAATGGCCACATGGGGAGGTCTCAGTCCGGCCGTACGCCTCGGTGACGGTCCGAATGGCCGCAAGCTGGCCGTTAATACGGGCATACATCTGAAATTGCTTACACCCCGCCCATGCATGCATGTGCTGCCACCTACAGGGCAACATGACGACGTGTCATGCAACAAACCATCAGCGAGAAGCACGTCCCTAAACACGCCACCGCGAATTATTGATAAGGTGAAATGTGTCACGACCCATCTAACGGCCCTGGATCAATACGTACATCTGCTGGTCCCCAGCGTGACGTTCCATATGGTGGTGGAAAGCCACCCCGAGTGCGGCGCACGCGCCCCACTA